GTGTCAACCTGTCTGGCCCTACTTATATCAGCTTTCATTGTTTTTTTTTTTTTGGCTATTTTTTTAGTTACATGATCCAGGCTGTGCAGGTCAAATGATAAACAACTTACTTTATTACATCTGCATAACATATGACTTAACAATCAGCTGGGGGTTTATTGCAAGTTCTATTAAAAGAACACTTAGTGTCCTAATAAAAGTGCACTTCACAGAAAAATAGAAGTACATGAACTATAGATCATGTACCCTTGCCAGACACAGCAGATAGAAACTCTGGGAAAATAAATTTGGTTTAAACTGGACCTTAGGTCACTTATGGAAATGTGTAAACAGAGAGTTTTTAGTACTGGTCACATTTGGAAACAGATGAATAGATATTACTAATTAAATATAAAAGATACAAGTTAACACTTTCACTTTTACAATCTCAAAATAAATTCTCCTCACTGTTTGTCATACATTCCTTATTTCTATAACCTAATGAGAAAATGTTTTTAAATTAAACCGTCCATGAAATTTTCTATCTTCTTATCATCTTTCTGCATGAGAAAGTGTTGATGCTGGCAGAGAAATTACTACGTCATCACTCTTAAGAATGGAAGAGTTAAGTTGTTCACTTAAGGAAGTGTAACAATGTGAGTAGAGAGCTGTTAGCCTTACATTCACCTATTAGTTACAAGCCTAGGATACAAGTTAGGAACACATACCTCTTTACAAAATATACAACTGCATTTGTCTAGTTTCTGGCCCTTCTTGTGTGGATATTCTGATAAACAAATCTTACAGTAAAACATTTTTCTGGTAGCCAACTTGCAAAGCCTTGGTGTTGGCGAACTTGTCTTGCTCCTCTGCGTTTTACCAGGTCCTTCTGCCATGTGTGGTGTTGCCAGAAAAGCAGGAAACATGATATACAGAAGAGATCCTATAGAATGAATGGCACCTCTGAGTGATTCTGGAAAATAAAAACACATATTCAGATTACAAACTTGTACTTGCCAGACCTTGGACAAACTGTTGATGTTACATAATTAACAAATGCATTGAAGTCAAATGCAAGGTTGTATAACACTAACACAATCACCCTGCTAGTTTTTTAGGCTGTTCTCCATATCATCCATACAAACCAGTCAACAAAAATACTAATTTTTGAATACCTCCTTATGTGATAAGAAATTAAAATTACAACTTGTGAGGTCAAAGTACTGACATTATTATTATAATTACTGGTGTATATCTTGATCAATATGGACAGGATTTAAGGGGAGCCCCTGGCTGCAAGCACCCTGAAATGTTTCTTCAGTATTTAAAGAGGCGATGAATTTCACAAAGCAACTTTGATAAAGAGATGACTCATCAATTTTACAAGAAACATCTGGATGCTATGATGTATTTTCACAAAAATTTGTCAAATGTAAAAACTTTTATCTGGAGGGTATATTGAAATCTATATAGACCCCCTGGTTAATGTCTGTCAATTACAGTACCTGCAACTTAGTTGTAGCTATGCTTTTAAACATCTTCATTATTTCTCTCTGCTGAGCAATTGAAAAGACTGATGGATGATAATTTCCACTGCATTAAATGTACAAGCAATTAAGCTGCTGCTCACATTTCAAGTTGTAGCATTGATGCATGACATGCTAAACAGCTTGATGTTATAAACTTAATCATGCAACAAGTTTTTGAGAACAGTCTAAGAGTTAATGATGTGTGAAATAGGACTGATATTCACGTGGACACTATTAAATTATTGACTTTGCTTTTAAGTGTGTAAACATAAAAAAGCAATGAAAGATGTTGTATTAAAAATGCCAGGTCATTATTCATAATACTTCATGGTCATGATTTCAAACACTACCAGTGACCCCAATCAAAGATCACAGACTTTCAGCACACTATTTATTAATCACAATTGAATCAGTGAACTTCGATCTGCATTTCAAAGCTTAATTTACAGAAAAAACATTGCCTCTGGCTGTTGTGATAGTACAGCTAAGAGTCTCAAGAAAAATTATGAATAATAAGGAGCCTGCTAGTCTGCTGTGGTGAAAAAGTTCTAAACTTGTCCATGCATGAATGTTCTTGTGTCAGACTCTGACAAAAGCTAAATACACAAACAAAACTTTTCAATTTTGAAAATATACCTTTGATTCTAAAATTGTATTCATTATAACAATTGTGAAGGGTTTAATGCCTGAATGGGTAATATCTAACCTGCACTTTCCCAAACATTCATTTCCTAACACTGTCTGAATCTTAACCTATAATTATTATAGTATATTTAGTCTGCACAGGAAGAAAATTCAGCAGCCTCAGGGTTTTTACATCAAATATTCAATTTCTACAATTCAAATTGGCTTCAAAATATCTAGTAACCTTGGATACCTATACAAATAAATTATTCTAACAATATTTTTGGCACAAGCTCTTAAAGTAGGAGTCAAATAGTCTCACTGATGTAGACCAATTAAAGGAATAATAATTATTTTTATCTCCTCATAACAAAAATCTCAAGTCAATGGAAAACTTAACCTGTACATTGTAGACCAGAAATTCAAGAAATGAATTTTTTTTTCTCAAGGTTACATTCAAATTATCCAATAAAATAATAAAATTAAATAATTGATCGAAAAAAAATTGTTTTAAATATTAAAAAGCGAACTACTACTACAATGTCAGATTTAAAGGCAATGACGAAGCATTGCCAACCTAATTTTTCAAAACAAGTTACAGGCAGTTCAAATTTTAACAGTAAATCAAACATTTAATTATTTGCCCGACAGCAGCCCAATTGTCACCACAAAATATAACGACATTTTAACCTACCAGAAATAAATCTGAACCTCGCTGTTTTGCCGAGTACTCGACAGGTTACTTATGAGAAATAAGACGCACAACTCACCATGTAGCGTTTGTACGAACAGAAAACGGTAAAAAAAATTTGCGTGTTTCATTCACAGTCGACTTCACAGCCCAAAACACTGCTTGGCACGATAACAAGAAACCGGCGCTCACGCAACGAGCTTGACCGACTAAACAGCCTTTTTTTTTTTTTCATCAAGAAATATTTTTCTTTCAGATAAATGAAAAATTCAAACAAGGGGCCGGTTGTAGGGATTTTAAGGAATTCCTTGATAAGAAAACGCAAAAAGCAGATCATTTTCAAGACATTAAAAAGATGGGAAATTTTTCAATTTCAATTGTCGTATCGCGTAGACCGGATATATGGGTCTCAGATCACATATAAATGACACAAACGACTGTTAAAATTAAAATATGCCAATTATTTACCTCAAAAAGAAGCAAAGAAGCCATTTTCATCCAAATTTTCAATGAAACCGGAGAAACATCCAAACAACCCGACGGACGACATTTTAAAACAACAATAACAATGACGTCATAATTTCAAATGACTACTGTGCAGGGGCTGGGTGGAAGTAAAATTATCTCAGGGGCCCGAAGGGTCAAAAGTGTTTGAAACTGGTATTTCAGTACCACAAAAAGTGATAATTAAAAATGTATGGACATTAATCTGCAATAAACGAGAACCTCTCACGAAAAAATTAATTCTCGAGGCATTTCCGTGGTCTATACGTAAAAAACTTCCCATGCTGCCATAACAACAGACCGTCACGCAACCTACCATAGTGCGCGAATGATCTAAAAAAAGTTACGATTTGTAACAGTCAGTGTATGCCTTCGTTAAGTTCCGAGGCTTAAATTCTTCCCTATTGAACGTCTTCCTATCATAGAAACCGAAATTTTGGCATGAAATACAACAAAGATGCTGCTGGACTCGAAGTTCCAGTAACGTATCATGATAGTGAAACGGAGTCAACCAATTCTTTCGAAACTAGTTTTTAATATTTCAACAAAGATATTAAGTTTAGAGTGAAGTCAGATTATTTATCCACGAACAATCCTACCTTCAACAGCTATTTTCGTCAGGTATCTGCAGATTTTCTTTATTTCCTCGCTCTTCGCCTAAAGCTGATTCTTTCTCTTTGAACAGAACTCTACACAGAGGTTTCCATTCCTCGTTTACACCATTTCGTCTCCCAAAGTTGTTTTAACAAACATATCCTTTATGGTTTAACGCGAAATATTGGCTGTTTGTTCTAACTGCAGTTCGCTGAATGGCCTTTTACAAATATCACAAATAACCAAAACAGCCCATGTGAGCGAGGGAAAATTAAATTCGTGACTTTCTCATGGAGATCAGAACCGGAAGTAATCACTATACTTACATTCGATTGGTTGAAATCGAAGACGCGAATAGTGTCGATAGCTACGTCTTGTGATAATCATAAGATTCTTTATAGTCAAGTTTTCAATTTTTTTTTCGCACCCTGGAAGGTTTTCGGGCCAATTAGTGGTGCTCCCTTTTCTCATTCACATCATCCTTATTTCTATTTTAGTTGTTGTTTGTTTTAGTTTTTCCCCCTTATGTTTTTTTTGTTTTTTTTTTTGTAACGTTTTCTTTTACGCATGTGTTTCCGGTTATTTGATCATTTCTACGATGTTTTGTTTATTTCGCATGACTCATTTGCTTCGTTTGGCAGTTTTAGCGAGTTTTCTTTCCATTTACTACTTTTTTTTTGTTTTGTTTTTTTTTTGTGTGATATTACGAATTTAGAGTTTCAATAACTCTTTGAAATTGTCGCATTTATTCCTGATTGGTTTATGTCCTTTTGCTGCACGTACTAGAGCGAGGCCATGCGGTATTGCGTGTATTTGATTATTCGAGCTTTTAAAGATGAGTTCCATGCACGTAAAGACTCTTTAAAGTTATCAAGTGCCGTAATCGAAGTTTAATGCCTTTTGTGATGGTTATGACTCATTAAAATTCATATCTCGTTGGAGCAAACATTAGCATTGACTCAGAAGGCCCTGATCTGTCCATAAAAACAACGTGAATTTTATAAGCATGGACCTTTTTTATTTTACCCTGTCGTGACTAACTCATCGTAGGGCATATTAGGATGAAGAAAACTGAGGCCAAGCTATCATCTCGATATGTTCAATAATCTGTTAATTCGCAGAACTATCATAGAAAGTACTGCCACAACAAATTTGTTCATTATAAGAACAAAATTTAGTCAGTTTCTTCGGGTGCTACTGACCTCAACTGATTTTAAAATTCTTCTTCTCCCAAATAGCCAAGATGAGAACAACCTAAACGCTAAGATTCTGGGCGAAATCATGACATACGCATGCTTGGAAGACATGAGGATCGTACGTGTTGTTTTTACAACGATGGTTTTCAATGACAGAACTAACTGACCCAAAACTCCCACAAGCATGAACACCAATGTTGGTATAAAAATTAAAGCTCAAAACCCCATTGGTACTTTTGCAGACAGTTCAGCTAAGATATAGAGGCCTAAAAATCGCACGTATCTTTTTAATAACTAACGATGCCTTTCAGCAAAAACTCAACCCCTACAACCTTTTTACCAAGAAGAAGACTTTGGTAGGGAGGAACAAAACTTGAAACAAAACCTAATCAGCAGCTTTTCTGACGCTTACGGTTCACCTTGAGACTAGGATAAGTTTGATTACCTCAATAAAGACGAATAATTTAATTTTTTTGGCGGTTTCAGTCGTAGGCGAGGTGTTAACAACGTGCTAAAATCATCGATGCACCCCAAGAACAGTGTAACGATCGAGACCCACTCTTTTGGCCAGAATTAAAAGATCTCACGTGGCCTCGACACCTCTTATCGTTTTTAGTCCCATCAGCATTATTAGGTTTAAGGAATAAATATTCTCTAAAAAAGTCTCTACCTTTAACAGTATGCAAAATAAATACGCAGGTGGCTTATAATCAACCTTAATATAAGCAAGGCGAAATGAGTCGATCCCTTTTATATACGTGAAAAACGAGTCCTTCTGCAAAGATCGAGTAAAATCATCTATCTTTTGATCATGCACAAAGTTTTTTGAAGCCTTCGATCCTGACACTTACGAGGATGACATTCGCTTCGGTCTATTATGCAAAAAAGAAAAATTATTTCTGTTAGCAGACGTTTGCAGAAATATTCAGTAATATTCGCGCGATTGACTCGTTATAAATGTACCTTGAGGGAATCAACCTAAGCTCAGATCAAGAGAAAGACAAGTTGATTATAAACTTGGCATCATACTGCACTTACCAAAATAATTTGAAAAAGACCACTCTCCCATTGTCGGCGGTTTGCGGGTAACTTTCCTGTACGAATTGTCATAGAAATTAAATCCTCTTAAACGATTACTCGTAAACTAAGAAAACCTTGAACTGTCTAAAGTTAAACACTACAGGCAAGCTCTGTTTCGCTCTTCTGGTAGCCGTTACTTCAGACTCTTGCATAAGTAATTTTGGGTGGACCAATCAGTGATTTTGTTTGGACAGAATGTTGAATGGTTCAAAGATTACCAGACAATAAAAGTCCCTTAGAGACCTGCAAAATATGCAGCCTTTGTGAAATAATTAATTCAGAACACCGATAGGATCTCTAAATATATCTTGATGAGCAATGAGCGCCTGCCATTCTTCCCTAGTACCCGAACGATGTTAACCTAATATGTTGATACATTCAAACATATCTAGTTTTCGTGCGGAGTGAGATATGTGTGCCAGTTTTCTAATGTATTCACACCGAGCGACGCTAGAATGACGTCAACAATGACGTCTTAGGGCGAAAAATCTAGAGTGCTTTGTAGAAATATAATAGAAGGGAAGGGGAGCTAAAAAGGTAATTATGTAATCCAGATTTTTTTCTATTTGATAACTGGAATGAGGAAAAAAAATGATGAAATGTGCGAGAGTAAAGGAGCAATATTAAGACAGTTACCTTAGCATTGCTAGCCTCCTGCGATAACTAGGCTGACTTTACTTTTGCACATCACGCAATAACCCTACTCTCAACAACAGACAGGGAGGATTGCGTGACGACGACAATAACCCCCGCATGGTTACCGCTGACCGCTAAGTGTCCTTACTTTCGAGATGGTGGAGAAGCAAAAAGCCGGAAATAGTAGACGTCGAAAAAGGGATCAGCCATCGCTGAAAATGTAAAGTTGATCGTTACCTCGAAGTGAAAAAGAAGAGAAAAAATCAATCTGTTTAATGTATTTCAAGGCAGCAGGACTCAAGATAACTACTTCAAAAGAGTATCATTTTGCAACTGCAGCATGGAACTGTCAATTATCGTCTCATGTTTAGTGGGCCTCTGGGTAAACTGGTCGTTTTTAGTTCAGACTAAGCACAAGTGGGAAACTAAGTTATATATCCTGAGACAGCTGATCGTATTTCAAGTAACTGCGAACTCTTTTAACCTCTCTGTTCATCTGATTTTGTTGATACCTTGGCCATTTTGGGGATACGCGGTTCGACCTGGAGACTATTTGTGGACAGTAGATCCCCTTACCTGCAGATTGATCACAGCAGTCCTCGTAATTTCATGCATTGTGTGCATTTTAAACGCAGCTGGTATTTTTCTGTCAAATCAGGGGAAAGACGAGCTAAGAAAGGAGAGACTAGGCAACAATGCAGCTGTAGTTGTTTCGGCAACGTGTTTTTTGAGCGGAATTCTCACTTTAGTTTACACAACAGCTATACCACTTCTGAAACAGGGCACTTTGCACGGAGAAAACTGTCCTACCCACTCGTTTTCAGTGCTCTGCGCACAGACCGAGGTGAAAGCTATCTATTTATCCTACGTGGTGTGTTCTTTATTTCTGTTTATCCTCAATTTCCCGCCAACAAAGTCTAGGGTGAAATACATTTTGGACGTGTGCTTCAAATTGATAACTGGGGTGTTTCATGTCATTTCGTGTTTCATTCTCTTCTTTGGGGTTGTGTTCATTGTATTGTTTATTCTTGGAGGATCTTTATATAGTGACGCTTTCAACATAGTCAAACTCTATTTTGACATAGTCGGTCTTGCCGTTAGCATCGGCTTTCCAGCAATTGTGAACACGGGGTTTACATCACACGTTTTTCAACCGCCTCCCTCAAACAGAAACCCGGACAATGAGAAAGAAGAGGTCAAAGTTAGGATAAACGTATCTTGACTTTTTCACTCTCGAGATCACACGAGTAATTCTCATTACTGACTGCCTTACAATTTTTATGATGTTTGTTTGAAGAATTTGGTATTGGATCAACTAATTAATTATCTCCTTGTTGATATTTTTCTTTTTTCTCATCACATATCTGCTTGAAATTGTATTAATATTGTAAGGAGAAATTTTGTTCCAGTCACTCATGAGAATTAAAGGTTTAGAAGTTTCCTTCTCATTGAATAATTTACATGTTTTGACTACATAGCAGCAGAACAACTGATGATGATGGCATGGCGATGAAAAATAATATATATGAAATATCATTTTTAGTTGAAGTTTAGTTAATTTATGAATCTTAAATACATCAAAAAAGGAAAATTGTGTAGAAAAATTATTGACCTTGACATATTGAATCCATTTGCAGCTAGAAGTTGAGAAACCAGTGCCTTTGCCAAAAATGTTCACTTATCATTACATGAACACATTTACACCATCCATGTCCAATTGCAAGAACTTTCAAGGGGATTTTTTTATTATTATTTTTATACTTTCAACTCACTATCTCCTTTATGGGTACACTGAATTTTTGAAATCAGGGTTTAAGACATCATCTAGCTGCTGATTGCACAATAATCATGTCATGGACACTCAAGGCCATAGGTAATCATGTCATGTATGAGCACAGTGTATGATTTCTAAGGGTTAGTCATTTCAAGTTTGCCCCCTCTGTGTTGCTTGCTGTTTGTATATTTTTACACATTTAGAAATAAATTATCAGTTCCACTTACTGTTGTGACCATTTTTTTTATTCAATGTATAATAAAACAATTATTAGATTCAGTTTTTGTGATATCCAGAATAAGCAAGGTCTCTGTAAGGGTTATCACCCTCAGCCTTCAGCTGATAACCCCTACCACAAGTATAATAAAAGTATATATCACTTACTTTTTGAAAATGTCATGTAATTTAGCCTCAGGAGGCTGTGAATATGAATATTTTTATTAATTATTTATCTAACTATCCACCTCATGAAATGTCTTTTTTATAACTTTTATACATTTTAAAATGTTAATTTGTATGAATATAAAGTTACTTGAATCCAATATAAGTTCAAACAAATTGAGCAAATTTCTTAAGAAGTCTCCACCATCTATACACATTTTTATAGAGAGGTAGTTCTAGTTTGTTTGAAAAACTACTTTTCCAGATACAATTGTTCTTGAGAGGTTTAACTGTGTATCAAACAATAATAGATCAGCTCTTTTTCCCACTTCTATGAGTCCTGTATGGGAGATCTTTGCAATTCTGAAAGATTAATTGATAAGATAAATGTTGTCAAAATCCTTAAAGTGTATTAGTTTAGGAAAACTCGCACTTCAAGAGCTTACAAGCTAATAACTGCTGAAACCTATGATTAAGTATCCCAGGTTTGTTAAAAAAATATATATACATATGTATGTATATATATATATATATATATATACACCGGTATGCCAGGTTTGTCAAAAAAAACAAATATATGTATACATATATATATATATATATATATGAAGTTGAAAAAAAAACAAATAGATGATGCTTTCATCCTTACAGGCCTATTTTATGATTACTCACTCATCAGGGGATAAAATAAAATCCTCTGATTAATATATATATTTATTTATTTATTTATTTATTTATTCATAGTTTGAGTCCAAAAATTTTGCCCAAATTATTTCTCACTCTGAAGTTAAACCACTCCTTTTTTAAGCTTATCTTTTAGTCAAATTTTCCTAAGTAGTTATTGTTCAAGGAATGGATAATGCTATCCCCTGAACAGACCACTATCCAGTTGGTGGTATAGTTTGTTTCACTGTTAATTTTGAATTTTGAGACATGAACTAAGCATAGCACCTATCCTACAATAACCACAATTGTACCTGGCAGGGTTTTCAGATAACATTGCTACAGCATCTCCCAAAGGAACTCAAAATATGTGAATCAGGGAGTGAAAAGCACCAAGGAGAGTGCCACAACTTCCAGCCAAGGTATTTGTTCCTGCAATTGACAGAGTACGGCCACTGGGAGAAACCTGAACTGAATGAGTGATGCAATGATGAATTAATGTAGTAGCAAAAGACAGTACTTTTTTTTGGTTTACCAGTGTAATTAACCCATGCAGGATGTTGGGAGAACAAAACAAAAAGTTTGCAAATCACCAGCCAGAGGTGAGTGACTTACAAAATTTTCTGAAATGATCACAATTACAGGCAAAAGCACCCAACCAAATGGAGAGTAAGTTAAAGAGATTCTTTATAACATTAGCAGGAAATGGAAATCTCTTGTTTATTGGGCTTACTTTGTTTGCTTCCATACTTGACAGTTTTTCCAGGGATGCCTTCTAGAACACAGTCTGTTATAAAGGCAATGTTTTTGAAGTGGCGGGCTTTTAACAATAATGAAACAGCCATAGGATCTCTGAGGAATCAAACAAATATTATCATGGAGATGAAAGGCTCAAAGAAATTAAGTTATAATTAACAGCAGTCTACTGCAAAAAGCAAACACAAAAAAGAATTGCCAACTTGCTGACAGAACCATGAACATTACACAGTTTATCAGAACATGGAATTACTATATGTTGACATAACTCTGTTGTAGTTTAGAGTCTGTGTCATGGAAAGCCTTTAGCTCATAGAATTAAATTCTAAATTGTGATCTTTTGATTGCCTGATAGCCATAGAAAATCAAATGAATGGCAGGCCTACACCATATGGACATTTTAATAGAGGTCTTGCTCATGATGATAAAAAGGTATATTTTAAATTTACTTACTAGCTGAGTTCATCAGTACTTACACATGTGCTAGATCTCCTATGATTTCTACTGTTGGGGTTTTTATTCCTCTATACTTAGAAAGGTTTGGCAATTCATCCAGGAGTCCAAAGTTAACAAGACCTGGAGATCTATAGAAAGCATTAATTTTCCCTTTTAACCCTTTAACTCCCATGAGTGACCAAGAAAGAATTTCTCCTTACAATATCAAATACAATATCAAGCAGACAAGTAATGAGAATAAAGAAACATATCAGTTAGGGGATAATAAGTTGATCCAATACCAAATTCTCTATACTAACATCACAAGAACTATATGGCAGACACTGAAGGAGAATTGCTAAGGAGATCTTGGGAGTTAAAGGGTTAAAGACCCATCTCTCTTGGGAAAGGAAAAAAAGGGAAAGGCATTGTCAATTAATAATCAATGCCTCTCTAAATCCACAACCAGCTAGTTGTTTATTGAAACTTTACTTGGGGCATAAAAATTTAAAAAAATGTTATGATTTTCTGCTCCTTATACCTGTGATGGAAGGAACAGACATTAAAAAGATGTGTCAAATGAAGCTGTTGACTTTTGCTGAGTGACAAAGCAGTGAGAATTTCCTCCTCAGTGGCCTGTTTATCATGGCCAAGGGCTGGGACCACTTCCCTAGAGACAGAAAAAATTTATTATTGTATTAGTCTAGTAACTTCTTTTTTCAAGTTGCAATGGGAAAAGAGGAGATTATGACTAGATTTCCACTAGATGTTCACTTGAATTCCAGTTAAGCTCTTGATCTAAAAACGTGGCCTAAAAAGCCTCATTGGGTCTGCCCCTGAAAAGCAAAGGGGCTTCAAATTTCTTTAATTGGTGATCATTTCCTTAATTCTCCTGACTTTAATGTGTGATTTGGAGAATTGATATGGTTGTAAAACAAGGAGACAGAAGAAGGCAAATTTATTCAACACCCTCCCAATCATGCCATGGCAATCTATGACAAATACATGACCTAAAATCCCCCTTTTTGCTAGAAAAAAAAAATCATATGATATAAATATTGTAAGGAGAAGTTAGTTGCTGATTACTCTTAAGGGTCAATGGGTTGCCATAATTGACTAATTAATAAATGACAATCTACAAATATTAAGAAAATTATACTTGTAACACACTACAACCTGTTATCATTGATAATATTATATTTCAATTGTTATTTTTCTTTCAAAGATGACTTAATCAATGACACCTTCTCAGCAGGCATTTAATTCTGTTGTAATTGTGAGATGCTTCTGCATGAGGGCTGATCGTCATGACTTTCAAATGAGGCATCTTATCAAGGAGCTGCTCAAACTCATCAGTGGTCATTTCGTTATAACTTTGTGGCATAGCACCAAGATCTGTGATAATGGGTCCGTGTAATTCAAAACAGAAGAATGATTTCTGTTTCAGGGAAGATTTCCCTTTGGGAGAATTCAATAAGGGCCATTCAAAGCTAATTAAAACAAAAGAAAAAATAGGAAAAATGAAAACAAAGATGGAAATAAAATGAAAGTTCAAGAATGTTTTGTCTTTGCATCCTTCTTTGAAAACTGGTGGATTAGGGTCCTGTGGAAGCTGCTAATTTCAATGAACAATTTCTTCTCTTTACAATGGACAGGAGAGGAGACTGGACTTAGGGTATTGGCAAGAGTTGTCTCCAATCTATCACCAATATTAGAAATACATGTTGGCAGATTTTGACATGGAGTCTCTGGTTCGGTAACATTTGCCAATTTTATCAAAATCTTGTAAACTGGCTTCAAGTTAATCTGCCCTTGACACAATTTTAATAATCATGCCTGGCATTTCAATTACGTACCTCAGAATGGATTCCTTCTAAAACTGCTCCATTTCCATCAATAAGTCCCACATGGCTTTCAAGTATTTTCAGGATTTTGTCCTCCTTCTCACCAAGAGGATGATCAGGAAAGACCACTGATGCCAAAAATGATGTTGTTCCATATTGAATAAGTCTAGATCTTGTAAAGTCTTTAAGGAGGAAAATGTATTAATCTCCTTTACTTGACTGTGATCATTTTCACTTTTCCTCTTTTTAGTTGTGTGTTTAACAAAAAACCTGGCTGGAACCATGAAATATCATGGTCTATATAGTTCAAACTAATAAGCACACTTGGTAATGGCATTTACGGCAAGTGCATTTCAGCCTTTAACCCCTGAGAGTGACTTGCATCTGGTTTCAATACCACCTCTGAATCACAGGTTAAGGTTGAAAGAATAAAGGAAATGGTCATCAAATGAAGAAGCTCTTAATTTTCAAAAAAATTTTCCTTGTCAGCTCCTTGGGAAATGCATAGAGAACAGTATAGTGAATATATTACACACTGATGTTAATTAATGCATAAAGGGTTCAAAAAATGAGATGTACCTGGATTACACCAAAACTCTGTTACATCATCTGCCCCACCTAACAATAATATCAGCCAAGAACCAACTTTAGTAGCTTTATTATTACCATATGAAAGAAAAACATCTATCAACCACTCAGTCACTTTATTTATCATAGCAATGAGCAATATAACTTTTAGAGGTTACAGCCTAAAAGTTGAGTGGGCACTGTGGGCAAAGGTTTTTTTGGTGTGGTGATGCATCATGAATCAGTCTTCTTAAGTTCCTTAAAAAGAATCAAGCCAGAGTGCCCTTACTTGTCTTGTGTAGGGTTAGAAAGAGGGCCCCTTCTCCTCTGTGCGTGACGTTTAACTGTTTGTGGATCAAAGATCGACCACAATCAATACACAAAATCAGGGCAGGAAATCTGACGAAATTTAACGAATGCTTCACTATTTCACGGATTTTAATCGTTTTTCTAGCTTCTATCGCCAAGTTATGCAAGACGGAGCCTCCAAAATCATTACCACTTTTGTTGAAAAGCAGCTCAACTGAGAATATCACTGAAGGTCATCGAAGGACACGGAGGTCTGGGAACAAGACTGAACTTTGATACTAGTCGCGAAGAGCAGCTTGGGAGAAATGTTACGTTGACAAAGGCGCCTGCGTACATTGGCGAAAGCCTTGGAAAAGAGATAGATTTTTAGTAAACTTCTTTATAGTTTACTAAGGAAGAAAAATGCTTTCTTCAGCTCTAAGAGTTGGATTTAGGCGGGTTTCAAATGCTACTAGGAGGCATGTTTTACCGACAGTAAATTCAGGTATGTTTTCTGTTTATTTGATTACTATGCGTTTACGTGGAGAAGGATGTAGATATTGTGGCTTTCACAGTTGCACGTGAAATCCAATGAATCGAGTTTTACATCTTTCGTGTAAACGAATCTGGTGAATTTTTCATTGTTTATTAAGTGAATTGTAATTTGGAAAGTATTTCTAGTCATAGGTGGCTTCGGAGTACTCTTTTCGTATAGTTTTCCTATACTTTCTTGTGACAGTACGAAGGTCACGCAAATACGTCAACCACACCACCAGACCCACCCCCTGAGTTACTTCATCATAAAGTTTAGAATTTTATTGAATTCCTAGTTTTAGCTCGCAACATTTGCACTTCTGTTTTCTATTTCAGGAATTCTCACCCGGTCCAACCAGACTTCAGCAGGTATTGAAGGCATTTTTTTCTAAGTTAGAGACTTGTTTGATCTGGTAGACAACCATCTGTCAAGTGGAGGTGCATATTGAAAAACCCAATTAAAACTCCTCATAAGGGCTGTAGGCAATGGTGTGAGCAGGTCTAGTACAAGCCACAAGGTCTAGTGTAAAGTCTTGCGAGATGCAAAGTGCATAACAAATAAATTTGAGGTTGATATAGATGAAGATGGCAAAATTTAAGCCTTGTGTTTTAGTGAAAGATTCCACTTTGTTGAGAGTCTGTTTGGTAATAGATCACAGATCATGTCAAAATGTAATAAGAACAAAAAGGTGTCACACAAAGTGCAGCCATGTATGTCACTGATTTTCCTATCACATTTTGATGTTTTCTGTTATCTATTGATGTACAAACCCACAGCATCACAGAATTTGTGTGTTTTATATGATAAAAACACAAAGCACTGTCAAAGGTGATGTCATCTATGCATCTGTCCTCCAACTGATTATAAGTAAGAACCAATTGAAATGATTATTTACTTCAGCATGTCATTTCAAGAGGATAGAAAGAAACAAGAAAGAAGAGAAAGAAGCATTTGTATGATAAAGTGCTTCTTTCCTGAGTGAGGTTGGGCAGACAGAAAGATATTTGGCCCTCTTTGATAATGTTCAGACCTCGCTACCCTCTGTCCCTATTTCATGACCATGATCAAAGCAATTTTCTGTTCTGCCCTCCTAATCAGTCAACAATTGCATTTCTCATCCACTTTTTTATTTGTTTATGTGTAGCAGACAACTGTGTAAAATGCCACATCCAGGATGGTGTTGCTGTTGTTAGGTTTGATACTCCAGACTCTAAGGTAAGTCCTAAATGTGGAAAAAAAAGTATTACAAGAAAACTTCAGAAATTTCACTGTACAGTATAGAAGATGTGGCTTCTTTGATTTGAATCTTTAACTTCCTCTATCAGGTTAATGTGCTGTCTGAAAAGCTCACAACAGAGTTGGTTGAGGTAAGTATAATAAGAGCAGAGTCTGCCTCTTTATGAAATCATTATAGATTATGTTCATTGAGTTACCTCATTGCATTTGCATTTATTTTCTTATTGCCACTTCTTGTCTGAATGACTGATCAGGTAATGCAAGGTGTGGAAAAAAACCCTGATGTGAAAAGTGTTGTTCTTGCATCTGCTAAACCAGGATGTTGGATAGCTGGCGCTGATATCAAGTATGTAGGACAGTACAGTTTACAAATTATTATAATTGTGAAATGCATGCACCAATGACACCCAATTTTAAATACTAGTAATGGTAGATTGCTTGTGATTTACTTGTGAGGATGATAACAATGTTTTGACCTCATGCTACATCTGTGTAGTGCTATTCTTTATAATACAATGAGTGAAATGGTTTTAAGTAAACAAAGAACTCTGAAGTAAGAGCAGTTTATGAGCCCTCAGTAGCTATCATGGATCTTTTTTAACTCTAAACTCCTATGAGTGACCAAGACAAAATTTCTCCTAACAAATATCAACAATGTCAAGCAAAAAAGTGACGAGAATGATAAAAAATATAAATTAGGGGATTACAGGTTGATCCAATGCCAAATTCTCTAAACCAATGTCACAGGAATCGTATATCAGAATGTATGGAGAATTATTGTTGAGAGCTTGGTGGTGAAATTTTAAAGTTTTTTCGTTCTAATGAAGTTTTACCTCTAGGGGTCTGCCATCAACCACTTTTCTGAACAGCTAAAGTGTTTCTTGATCTTTGGTTTGCAATGTTTTTTAAGTTTATTTTCCACTGTCCCTGTTGATGTTGTTTGGGTGATGTCTTCAATTAATTTCTCCTTTTCTTAATTTTTCTTTGACCTTGCACATGTGGTAGTCAGGTTGCTGAACAATAAACTTCTTTCAAACAAGCCATAGGCACATCTTTCACCCTTTCACTCCCAGGAATTATCAACCTGAGTAGTAGTCATTATCAGGGAATATGGTATAATTAAATATGTACGTTGGCAGTTGAAAGCTAAAATTGTGAGCATGAAGATGAGTGAAATTAATGTAATACGTGTCATTTCTTTTCATAGCATGTTGAGTGCTGGTGACACTGCACAGAAGGTAAGTTTAGAGTATTTTTGTGTACATTTACACATTTATTGTTAGTAAGTCCATCACATTAATTTAGTGCCAAGCTGACTGTCATAACCTGACCTTAACTACAAACTCAGCCAATGGTAGATATACATAATGAAAAAAATAAGAGTGAAATAATTGGCAAGATCAGTAGAAAAAACATTAGTACAGAATACAACTTGAAATCATGAGTAGATGGGTAGCTAGATTAGTAATTGTGGGTGCAGTGAAAGGTCATTCCTCAACTTGCCTGACTTAAATTTTAAGTCAAAAGTGTTTTGTTATAATCCCACATTGAATCATGTAAGATTTGTAATATTACCTCTTATCTTCTAAGGTGGAAGAAATATCAGCAAATGGCCAGAAAGTCATGCAACATATTGCAGTGAGTGCTTAAGCCCTTTAACTCCCAGAAGTGATTAACATGTAATTTCTCCCTTTAATATGCATACATTATTCAGCAGACAGGCAATGAGAATACTCAAGCCTATTCAGGGTGTGAAATTGCACCTAATACAGGCTCCGATACGCCTAAATTTTTCACTTTGGCGACCAAATCCTGAAAGTTAGTCGCCAAATTGGCGACTAGAATGTTTCATCATAACCTTACCAAGAGATATAGTGAATTAAAAAGATTTGCAAAGATAAATCCGTGGCAAACTTCCTCGTTAAGTTTGTTTCCAAAACGTAGCACATGCATCTCGATCAATAACTAGATGCCATCTTGGATTTAGATGAGCCTGAACGTTCTATATCATCCATCCTAGTGTCCACTTTGTAGCACGTTAATTTTGGAGGGTCTATCTAGAATGCTTACAGCGTAAAGAAAGATTTTGTTTGTCTTTCAACTTTTTTTGAATTGGCTACCACTTTAAAGAATTTCAAAAAAGGTAATTTCACGCCCTGCTATTAGGCAGAAGTTATTATCTTAATCTTACATCAATTTTTCATAACTTTTATTTATAAAGAAATGTGTAGCAGCTAGAGGGGAGAATAACACAGATCTTGAGAGATGGACTGTTCACAGTGAACAGTCACTGCATAACAATTATGGTTTTGATTTTTAAGATGGCATTGTAGTAATTACTTTGGGTCTTTGTTACAGGACAGTCCTAAACCTTATGTTGCTGCAATCATGGGATCATGTCTTGGAGGTGGTCTAGAGGTAGTTACATTATTATATATGACCTGTACAGCCCTGTGCATGCTTTTCTTTAAAAAGTTTTGACTAACATCTTAAATGAGGGCCATATGAAGTGTCTTGAGCAGAGCTGGAAGAGAAATGGTGATATGATACAATCATGGTTATTGACTGAGTCAGGTCAGGTGGGATGTGGAAATATATGGCTCTCAGTCATGATGCTCCTTAAGCTAAGTATTTTCCTGTGCTGCCCTCCCACACAGCACATAGAAACTTACTATTCTTGGCTGCAGTTTGGAGAAATGACTCAAGATTGCAATATAAACTGTTCTTTGTTGTAGCCCATTGTCTTAAAAGCATCAAATTGGGAATCACAGCAAAGTACATATGGCAAAGGACCAATCATGACAGGGATAGCTCTACTTGCCAAACATAGATTATCACTGAGAGAAAAATACATCTGTAGATTATATTGAAAGGATTATTGTTTTAAAATTGCCAATCAACATATAAGCCTGTGGTAACTGGGCAATAAACCATGGCATAAATGGTTTCCAGACAATCTTGATATATGTTTGTATGGATAAAATTTAAATTGATAATGCTACTAGCTGGAGTAGATATGCATGTTGGTTTCATGTTTAAAGCTAGTGGACCCTGTTGCTTATGTACCTGTAAGATATTGAGTGAGCCTTTGAACAACCTGTCTTCTGTTTTGATCCTCAGGTGGCCTTGAGCTGCCATTACAGAGTGGCTGTTGATAATCAATCCACTGTCCTCTCTGCCCCTGAAGTCATGTTAGGTCTGCTTCCTGGTGCTGGAGGAACTCAGAGATTGCCTCCACTTGTAAGTTAAAATGGCATTAAAGAAAATCATGTATTTTCTAGAATTAAGATTTTTGATAATTAAATAGCAGGTCCATATCTAAGGCTTTTCATTAACCCCTTAATGGTGAGATATGATTAACATAAAACTTCTCCCTACATTTTCCATACATTATCCTGCAAATAGGTAATGAGAATACTCTAATTTATCAGGTACATTGTAGAGGGCATTATCTGATCTTATACCAAATTCTCCTAACTAATTTGTTAGGAAGTATGTAGCGGCAAGAAAGGAGAATCAATGATGAAATATTGAGAGTTAAACATTAACAATTTCCTCAATTTTTTTTTATATATGATTTATTTAGGTTGGCCTTCCTGATGCTTTGGACATGATGCTAACAGGAAAAAACATTAAATCAAATAAAGCTAAGAGAATGGGTCTCGTTGATCAACTGGTCAAGCCCCTAGGTATGCTGATTTGTTTATTGTATCGTAAACAATACCTTTTCCCTTACCCACTAGCCTTTAAAACTGTGATATTGAAATACTACCCAGTCCCATTTAATTTTATAGTTTCCTTTTGTTATGCAAATATGCAGAGAAAAGTAACCAAAAGAGACTTGAACCAAGTAAATTCCAGGTTTTTTTTTTTTTTAACCAACCTAAGTGTGGTTTCTATGTTACCATCTTTATTAGCCCACCTGCTGTTGCTAATTTTCAAGCATATTATCTATCTGTAATATGATTATTCTGAAGTCCATGTTTGTGACAACTGCCAATTGGTAACAACAATTACTGAGTTTGTGTGACCACCCGTAAGATTTTGATTTTCTTTAAAAGTGGGTGGATGAGGATGAAATGGGCAGTCCATTTTGGAATGAAGCCTAAGTACTTTTTCTTGGGGGGGGGGGGGCATGTTTTACAGAAACTGTGGATAATTTGGTATTATCAACTGAGTTGATAATATAAATTTGGCTGCTGTAAAGAGTTTCTAAAGTGAAAGTTTCAAGCATAAGCCTATCATCAGAGGGAATGACAAAGGCCTAAAGCCCAGAATGTCAACCAATTTACATTATCACCTCACTTGATAATACCAAATCATCCTGAAAATGTTTTAACTGTTTTTTTTTTCTAAAACTAACCTGTGGCTCATTCCTAAAGTGATCTGAGATAATTTGCATGAATTTAAACTGTAAAATTGAATTGTTTACAGGTCCTGGGCTAAAGCCACCAGCAGAAAACACCTTACAATACTTGGAAGACATTGCAATCCAGAGTGCAAAGTAAGGTTAAAAGGATGCAATTGTGGAAAGCAGTTACTACAATTTTCAGTGGATTGAGGCCAGACAGAAGTTTGGCAACCATTTTTTTTTTATCTCGCTGTTTTCATGGGCAACTGGCTTGGTTTCCATTGGCAGCTTATTGTTTGCCCTCTTTTAGCATGCTTTAATATTTGACAGTAAATTATAGACAGCTATTCAGATTTGGTTATCATTGGAAAGGAGGAAAGTTGCCCTTGACAACACAGGTATTTTAAAGTCAAAAACCTGTCACAAACCTTTTGCATACTCCACTCGACTGATAATTGTAGTATTGTTCTAAAGCCTAATGGCACTTGTTTTAGCTAACTCATTATGAATCATTTTTATTATGATTGCATAGGGCTCTAGCTTCAGGAAGTATAAAACCAGATAGATCACATT